TTGGTTGTAGGTCTATCCAATTGAGTGCAGAGGCATTTTTTTTTCCTGGTTCGTTCGAAACACGCCCCATAATCACAGCTCTATGGAGCAGCATCAGACTCATTCTGACTAGAATTGAGTAGGACTACGTCAGACTAGTACCGTAGTACTGTGGACCAACGACGGGAGGCGAGGAACCATGCTAGGATGATGTGTATGTGATCGTAAGAACCAAGCTCGGCACGTTTAAATTATCGAAGCTCGGTCCAAACTCAGCACAGATCGGTTTCAGATGGGTAGTGGAAATGGGAATAAAGTATTACTCAACAAAAGACATGCTTTAAAACCTCTGGTTTGTGTGTTTGTCTCAGTAAATTGTTGAATCGAATATAAAAGATGGGCTCTGAAATGTTGAAGCATGCTCCCGCATCATGACTGTATTGCTTAGTAAGCTGCTGAATCTCATCAACAACAGCAGAAATCCCCTCAGCCAATACTTGTGTGTTTCTCCTGATAGTCTTGCACCTGCTGTCCCGACTCGTGTCAACGTGTGCGTGTGCTTGACTGTGCGTGACCAGATCAGTCACAATATTGAACATCTAAGTGAAAAACGGCTCAGAAACATCAATGTTCTTGTCATCTTTGATTATCATTTCCCCAGATCCGTTCAGCAGCGACCCGGGTTCGATAATTACATAACGTTAATGCCACAAGATTATGCAAGAAGCGTCTGAAAGGCCATCGGCAGGCTAATCCATTAACACCACATAAGAACCGCCGGGAGCTGACATTAGAGTTTATGAAGCGTTTCCTCCGCTGAGAGGCTGTTCTACAGCAGCAGATTGATGAACACTTTGTGTTTGTTGAAAAGGAAGCGCTGATGAAGCTTTCCCACCGGGAGCGTCAGATCACACTGTGTCTTAGAGAGCTTAGAAGTTAAAATAATGTTTTGGCTTTAATCAATCGAAAGCCGCATTTTAAACTTTATTCCGGCAGCAGCAAGTGGGGGAGGGGGTCAGATAGAGGTAAAAAAAAGACAGATATCTAGAAAAAAACAAAAGCATTTCTGCTGTTTGTTACCATTTATTGGCCCATTAAGGTTTTAGTTATTTTACCTTTTTTCCTTCCTAAACTGAATCTAAAGATGACTTACTGTTGACAAAAGTAATCTGAGAGACGATACTATAGAAAAAGTACGGAAGAGGATTAGGGCCACTGAAAAAAAAAAAGTTAACTGATTTTTTTACTTCAGTTTAACATGGGAAAAAAGTCAGAATTCTGACTTTAATCTCAGAATTCTGACTGAATTCTGACAATAAAAAAAGTCAGAATTCTGAGAAACAAACTCAGAATTCTGAGAAAAAAAGTCAGAATTCTGAGATTAAAGTCAGAATTCTGACTTTTTTCCCATACTATACTGAAATAAAATAAAAAAATCTGTTAACTTTTTTTTTTTTCAGTGGCCCTAATCCTCTTCCGTAAAAAAGCATTAGAAATGACATCTGCAGAATTTAATTAATGTAGTCATATTTAGTTAATAGGAATATTCTGTATTATGGAGCTCATTTGTTAGAAGCACCTTTGGAAATAAACGTTTCTTTCAATAGACGCTCATTTAGGTATCAGATATGTTTATATGAAATATGTTTGATGTAAAATTCTGATATTAAATGTTTTCCTTAGCTTTGAGTGAAAATCATAACGATTAACAGAAAACAAGGCGTGAAAACATCAGGAAATGTGTAATTTATCGATTGAATATGTTTTTCTTGGTGTGTTAAATTATTGAAATAAACATATTGCACAAAAATGATCAAAGAAATAAGCAAATAAGTTTTAGGTCAAGTGTACTTAATTTGAGGAGGAATATAAAATGATTTCCAATGGAATGCATGTTTTTACTCTTAAAATAAGATACTTGGATAATATACACTTGAAATAAGACAATGCAGTTGTTTTTTCTTATTTTAAATGTAAATTATTTTATTAAATGAACAATGTGTCTCATATATCTCCTTAATTCAACAAAAAATGCACTTATGCTAAGAAAAAATTACTCATTCAGATTTACATTGTTTGTAGTGTGGTTACATTTAAATTAACTGAATACGCCTGTAGTGCAATTCAACTTAAATAAAACAGAAAAACAAGAGTTAGGCTTTTATTTCAGATGATTTCAATTTATATGGGAACCTGTTAGTGTTAATATTAATGTTTAGTTGGTATATTAATAGGGACTTCCACATTTCTTTCTAACTCTGGTGTAGAGATGGTGTTAGCATGTGTAAAACGCCTTTTGATTATTTTAGCTTTTATTGCAAAAACATAATTTAAAATTGATTTAGAAAACTGTGATTTAGTATGAATGTTTTTTGTAGTTTAATTAAAAAAATGAACATTTAAGTTTTTTTGTCTAGTTGATTTCTATAAATTTAAATACAGCTTATTATGTTTGTTGAGTATTAAAACCAGGAGCCAAAAAACCTGTTAAAAGGGGAGTTTTTCCTCTCCACTGTCGCTACAAGCATGCTTAGTGTGAGGGATTGCCTTCGAGTCAATGAGTCGATGTAATCAACTGGTTTTCCTTAGATAGAAAACTTTGAATCAATTTGACTGGATGATCTGGTGAACTGTAAAGTGCCTTGAGATGGCGTGTTGTGAATTGGCGCTATAGAAATAAACTGAATTGAAACTGAATTATTTAAAGAGATATTATGTAAGTTTTTACCAAAAAATATCTTTAAAATAGTATTTTTATTTGACCCTTTATGACTAAAACATCGTTTGATGACGCCTCAGTGGTTAAGCTGCGAAGTGTCTATAAGCCTGTAGTATTTTTTGCGAATTTATAATCAGGTTAGAAGTTCCCGGATGTGATGTCAATCGCCTCCACGTTAAATGGATCTGAACCAATAAAAAATTTCTCTCTGTTGGCTAAAAATTTTTTTTTAATTTATTTTTTTTTTATTTTAAGCCTAGATTGTTTTAGTAACATAAAGAAGTTAACATCAGGAATAAACTCACCGACGGCGATGAAGTCCTCCTGCTCCCCGGGTTGGGTGAGGCCGAGCGGCCCGTTGTAGAGCAGCAGCCCGTTGGCCGACTCCGACAGGAACTCCAGGGATATGCGACTCTGGAAGCACGGCTTGATGGCAGGAAACCAGGCGTAACCCTGACCTCCAAAGCTGTGCTTGGTCTGCTGGCATTCCGGCCCGTCAAACATGGGGGGACACATGCATCTGCAGGACAGGGAGGACAGAAGTTAAAAGGAGTGAAATTTATTCCATTATTGTTAGATGGCAAAGAACATGTTTTGTAAATAAAAATTAGAACATTTCATTTTATTGAATTTTTATATTTTTCATTTTTCTTTATATTTGGTATTTTAACATTTTATTTGTAATACAAAAAAATCTGAAAAAAAAAATACTTTTGAAAATATAAAATATCCAGAAATGTGAAAAAACTAGGATATAAATAAATAAAACATAAAACATAATAAAAAATAAGCAAAATAAAAAACAAAACAAAACAAAAAAAACAGAAAATATGCTCTTAGAAGATTTTTTGATTAATACTTTTCAAATTTTACTCTCTTTATTTCATTTTTTTCATTCATACGTAAAAAAAAAAAATTCTATTAATTTTCCATGTTTCTATTTACAAAAATCATTCTTTGTTTGCAACAATAATGGAAGAAAATTCACTTCTTCAATATTATAAATAGCAGAATTGAACATATGAGTTCATCTAATTTAATATAAATTTATGAAGGACTCTAACTGCTAACCCTAAATTCTCTGTTTATTTACCTTCAAAGCTAATTTGATTTCAAAAGCAGGAACTTTGATCTATTGCTGAAATTTTCACATGAAACCATAAATCAAAGGAAACTTACTGTTATTTTTACAAAAAGTTGATATTTCTGTTTACCCAATGCAAATTACTTCCTGCCTTGCTGTAATAAAAAAAAGGCATTTTAAAGACTTGAACTGAAATCAACATGAAAGTTGTAAAGTTTCAAAAGAGAAACCAGCTGGATGAAACATTTCATCTACACTCTATGTATGAAGTTATTTGAGGATTCAAGCGGAGCAGCTGAAGCCGGAGTGAGTTTTATTGCTGCAGATGGAAACTGTCGTCTATCTTCTTAAATTTTTTAACAAATCTGACAGATTTCACTCGACTTATTCGGTTAAAAAAGTGACATTTCTGGCAGCTTCAAGCAGTGATGATAACGGTTTGAGAAGTCTGTTAGCCTCCAAGGACAGCCTTGCTTATAACCAGAGAGATTACATGTGATGCCAAGGTGCTGCAAAATGAGAAGAGGATTTCCTCCAGTTCCTTCCACCTACCGGTATCCCAGTGGTCCATCCTGGCAGGTGCCTCCGTTGAGGCAGGGGCTGATGGGATACGCGGAGCAGGACAGGTGGGTCGCCTCTCGCCCTCTGCAGCCGCAGCGTGTCGTCAAAGAGGCCGACAGAGAAACCAGAGAGGTGTTCCCGGAGTTCAGAACTACGGGGACATGGCTGAACGACACCTCACTGCTGCAGCCGCCGTACGGACTGCAGTCTGTGGACGGACAGTCGTCCACGCCCACCTGGGAGACGGATACACCCAACATGGACTCCAGCTGAGCAGGAGAGAGGTAGGAGGTGATGACAGAATCAGAAATACTTTAATAATTCCAGAGGGAAATTACTTTTGTTACACGCTCCAGTTACAGTTTTATATATATATACACACATCCAACTACCAATATAATAAAGATAAAAAATAAGAATAAAAAGAGATAAAATATATACACATATAGCTCTTCTGTATATATATATATATATGTATGTATATCTATGCATATGTATATCATATTACATATCTATGCAATTAGATTATTATCATTATATTATTCTCTTAAAATTAGACAAAAAACTTATTTAGAAGAGTTTTGGATCAAATGTTAATGTGGGGATTAAGTCATTTAAATGACTGATGACTTGAAAATTTATTCTTATCCTTTGCCTTTTTACCAAATGTTGTCATCTCACAACCACCAACTTTAATGCATTCCTGAGATTAACACGTAAATTTAAAGGGGAAGATGTAAAATTACCGATTTATTAAAGGATTGGCAAGTAGCACCTTCCAATTTATAGATTATATAGATTTGAACTCCTTCAAAATGCAGTATTTAGAAAAGGTAAGAGGTAATAAATGCTTTTTTTTTAAAGACTTTTAAAAGGCAAATCCAGATTCCCTTTAGGAGAGTTGGATTCAAAGTGGCCTTTTATGTAAACAACATGTAAATTATTAAATAAATCTTAAATGAAGACAAATGTGATTTGGTGTAACATTAGAATAACACAATAAAATGTTCAATCACCATCTGTCAAGTCATAGACATTTTCTGAACATATTAGAGAGTTTTAAAGAATGACGGCTTCTAACTTTGATCTCATGTCGAATTGCATAAACAACTTTTGAATTTGCTCCATTTCCCTTAATATTATTTATGCACTTTGGTGACTTCCATCACATTTCTGGTTTTTGTTGTCATTTTCTCTCTCTGTTGCTAAATCCCCCTCCCCCTTTTTTCTTTGCTTGTCATTCAGACTGTTTCTCTTAGTTCCTCTCAAAGAGCCCCCCCCCAAAAAAAATCAAATTTCCCCAGAGTTTCCTGTCTCTGCATTTATTTCTTTTTTTGGTTGTAAAGATCCAGCTGTACTCATTCCAAGTGCTTCATGATCCCTTATGCAGAGCTTCAATTTATGGCTCCAAAATTTAAATATATATTTTGATTTTATTTTTCTTATATTGTATCTTTAGCAATTCTACATCTATAACTGATTTATATATGACTATTAAATATAACATTTCCCCATCAGTTTTTAATTTAGGACACATTTTAATAATGGTGTTTGCTTTATTCTCATATTTATTCATCTTCCTATTGTTGTTGTGACATTTTTCTGTTGCTAAATAATCTTTTTGCCTTTAAGTTGCACCATTATGAACTTATTTGGCCATATCAAAAAACCCCAGATAACTTCAATCAAAATGGCTACTTTTATATTAATGTGTTTTCGAGTAAATTATGTAATGCAGTGGGGATGAGTAGGCAACATATTTGGGACTGTTAATTAAATTTGCATGCTATATTTAACAAATATAGGCAGGAAAACAACCAGTATGTAATATTAGCTAAATTAATTTGTACACACCTTTTATATCTAAGCCCTCACTATAAAGAGTACACCACTGTTTTGATTTTTCTGTGATTGAAATTTTAGTTCAGTTTTCAAACTTCCTATCTGATTTAGTTTTAAATACTGACAGAGTCATCATAGTAGGGGATTTTAACATCAATGCTGAGATTGAAAATGATAGTTTAATGCAGCCTTTAATGTTATTTTAGACGTGATTGGTTTTGTTCAAAATGTCAGTAGTCCCACACATTCTCATCTTCAAACTTTGGACCTTGTTCTGACATGTGGTATTGATTTAAAAATATTCTCACAACCCTGTCTTATCTGACCACATTTTAGAACCTTCAAACTTACTTTAAAATCTTTCCTCTCCTCCAAAAGAAAGCCTTGTTTTAGCAGAATTTTATCAGATAATGAAGTTATATATTTTTACAAATCTGTTCCATGTATTAATCTCATCTGTATCACTAAACAGTACAGCAGAAGGCAACTGTTTCATTTATTCTCTTTTACAAATTGATGATTTTGTTGATGGGGTTCCTTCTTCTCTACTCACTGCTTTAGACAACATAGCCCCTTTGAAAAAGAAGAAGGTTAATAATAGGAGGGTGAAACAAAAAGGACATGAGGAAAACAGGACATGGTAGAGAAACGAGGAGAGTACATGCATAGGAACAGATAAAGTAACATATTTAGCTGGGCCAGTATGGCTAACAGTAAAATAAAATACTGTGGGAAGTGTGGAGAATGACAATAGATAATGAGGAGCAGCTCAGGAAAAAGAGAAACAGCAAGGCTGAGGGAAGAAAACTAGTAAACACAGAGAAACTGAAATACGACTGAACTAAGGGGAAAAGATACACACTAACAAATAATGGAGAAACTAGAAAAGACAGGGAAATGAAAATGGCAACAAAAGGAAATAACAAGTATGGCAACACCTTAAAGGAATAGTACACCCAAAACATGATTAGCCTTCATTTTCTACTCACCCCCATGCTGAACAAC